TAGTTCTATTTAAAATTTTTTGTTGTCTTTTTTTTTTTAATCCTCACCCAAGGATATGTTTGTTTGTTTTTTCATTGATTTTAGAAGGAGGAGGGGGAAAGAAAAACATCAATGTGAGATAGAAACATCATATGCACCACCCCACCTGGGAATCTAACCCACATCTTGGGCATATGCCTTGACCAGGAATCGAACCCTCCACCTTTCAGAATAAGCTCAACCAACTGAGCCACAAACCTCTATGCTATTTTCCATAGTGGCTGCCCCAATTTATAATCCCAAGTTTTCCTCTTTTTAAATTGGGATGACAGTCCTACCTCTAGAGTTGCTCTGAAGACTTACTTGAGTTAGTTCATATGAGACACACCTCCCCCGCCCCCAGCACTGAGTTCAAGTTGCACAGGACTTAGCAGGCGAGGGCATGACAAGGTGAATGGCTTCCCAGGCTGACTGGGGGAGGCCAGGCTAGAACAGGAGATAACCAGCAGCCCTCAGCTGTCCCGATCTTGACCCAATTGAAGGGCTCACACTGCCCTGCAGGCTAGGGGTCCCTCAGCCACCTGAGAAGCCTCCCAAGGCTGACACAGCCAAGAACAGGCCTCAGCTCTTCCAGGGATTGTCTACACTGACACCACTTATCCCTGAGTGGGAAGCAGGTCAGCCACAGCACATAGGGTTGTTATTAGGTACATGTGTGTTGGCCCCTGGCCCCCAAACCCAGAGCCCAGTGAGGAGGATGCAGGCCCTGGAGGAGAGCCTCTATCGTTACCTTAAGAGTGGAGTGGTGGTTAGGGAGGGCAAGCCCAATGGGTCACACCCGAGGACCCAGGCCCCAAGTGTCCTCATCTTTAAGAGGCGCAGCCCTGCCTCATATAGGACGATTGAGGAGATGAGATGAAACAATGCATGTGAAGGGCAGCTGGGGCCTGGGAGAGAGTGAGCACTCAGCAGGTGAGCTCTGTTGCTACTGCTGATACTACAAGTGCAGTCAAGGACAAGCCTGAGTTCACCTCAGTTCACACCCCAGCTCTGCTGTTGTGTGTCAAACCCTTCAGAGCATCACTGCCCTTGCCTGCAGAGTGAGGTGATGGTAGCACGAATGCCTCTCACAGTTGCTGTGAGGAATAAATGCCACCACATGAGACACACTGGCCCCAGGTGAGGCCCACGTCACAAGGAGCTGCTGATGTCACAGTTTGCATACATTGAACTCCGCTTTCATCACGAGAGAATCTCAGGGTGGCTCAGAGCATCAGGTAGATATGGATTCTGGGTGTTCTTAATTCACTGTGCCTCGGTTTCCCCAGCCTTAAAAGGCAAAGACTCTGAGTACTTACATCCAGAAGTGGCATGAGGATTCAGTGAGTCACAGGGAAATGCCTGGTCATTGTTGGTTGGACTGACGGACATTGGCATCTGGTAGTGATTGACACCTGGCATTTGGGCGGCCTGCTTTTTCAGGTTTAGGACCCCTGTGTCCAGCACAGCACACCCACAGCAGGAGCAGGGAAGGCCTCTCCCCGATGACCCCACCCCTAGAAGGGCTGCCCCCACTCCGCCACCTCTCCCAGCCACCCTTCCAGGAAACTCTGCCTGCTGCCTGAGGTTCAGACCTGTGAGTGTCCTCAGTTGACGAACCCCCAGCTCAGGCAGGCCGGCAGTGGTGCTAATTAGCTTAATTAACCCGCCCCAAGGGAGCTGCCCTAGTTGGAGGCCAGAACTCCCAGTCAGCTGGGATCAGACCCAGCCAAGTTGGAGCCTTTGGTTGCCTTCCACTTCTGGCCCTTCCAGTCACAGGAAAAATAAGTTGCTATTGTCAGGGTCCTAACTGCAGAGCCTTCTTGGTAATTTTTCTGTCTTTTTATTCTTTTCTAATATAAGTGGTTTAATTCCACAGGACAAACATGGGCAAATTAGGTCAGAACCTTGAGGAGAGGTTCTGGATGTTTTCTTCATTTGAGTTTTAAAATGTACCATATGCACAGGGTTTTTAAAAAAATCAAACTAGTACAAAAAAAAGTTTGCAGTGAAAACCGAGCCTTTCTCCTTCCCTGGCCCCCAGCCATCCAGCTCCCTCCCAGAAGCAGCCATTATTTCCTTTCTCCCATATCCTTCAAAAAAAGTGCCAGACTGGACCAAGCATGTGTGAGGGAGGGTGCTTCCCTCGCCCACTTTATGTATCTCTGTGGTCACCTCCTGTCTCTGCACTTCTGCCTTTTTCACTTTTTAAAAAAATATATATATTTACTAGAGGCCCAGTGCACAAAAATTTGTGCACTCAGGGGCGGGGGTCCCTCAGCCCGGCCTATGCCCTCTTGCAGTCTGGGACCTCTCGGGGATGACCACCTGCTGGCTTAGGCCCGCTCCCCGGAGGATTGGGCCTAAGCTGGCAATCAGACATACCTCTGACAGCCCGGGAGCCTTGGGGGATGTCCACTTGCCAGCAGGGAGCAGGCCTAAGCTGCAGTCAGACATCCTTACGCTGCTGAGGAGGCGGGAGAGGCTCCCACCACCACCGCTGTACTGGCAGCCGTCAGCCTGGCT